TAGAAAACACATGTGCTTACCAGAGAGAGAGAGAGAGAGAGAGAGAAAGGAGAAAGTAGCCCCACAGGGAATGGTCACACCTCTATTCCTTCTCCTTTTGGGATTTTGGGGCACAAATATATGGCAGACATATTTCTCAAGCCGCTAGGTCTAAGACTCAAATTATATGGTCAGTCATGTGGGATTCAGCTGCCATAACCCAAAGGCCAGTGACCCTGCATTAGTTTTAAACATGAGCTAAGGGACAGCTCTGCAGGTATATCCATCACACGCTTCCATCTCAGCATGTTCGGCAGCTCCGGGCCTCCCAACATGCTCCTTTCTTATTCTCAGTCTCCATTACTGGAACCATTACTCATTCAGTGATCTAAACTAGAAACAATAGACTCATCTTTCACCTCTCTCTTGCTGTCTCTCACTCTTATTCTTGCTCCCTTGCTCTGCCCCTCTTTATCCTCCTTACTTTCCACATGCAATGGAGGACCATGCTATATGATTTCTCCTTGTTCATACCTCTGGAATCTTCCTTTTCTTCTCTCTTTTTTTTTTTTTTTTGAGAGGATTTTGCTATAGCGTGCGTGCGCTCGCCAGGCAGAGAAAGAGAGACAGAAAGCGAGAAATCACCCCCCCAGGGGGAATGGCCACGCCGCAATCCCTTCTCCTCCATTCTCCTCTCGGGATCTTGGGCACGCACGCACACGTGTCCGTAGTTAGTTTTAAGCCACCGGGTCTGGGACGCGAACCATGGTCGACTACATGGGAGTCCAACAACATAGCCATTATGCTAACTCCTGGTCCCTGTCCTTTTCTTTCCATCTGTGAAGTCACTCTTATTTCAGACCCTGATCATCTCTTTCTCACTTTTGACTATGGCATTTCTTTCTTAAATTGTTCCTTAGCTCCAATCCCTCCTCCTTCCAAGCACCTACTCCACACTGCCAGCATAAACTGTTCATATTATTATTATTAACCTTCAGATTCCTCAATGTCTTCCAAGGTAGAGTCCAAACTCCTTAGTATAGTACTTGAGGCTTTACCCAATTTGGTTTTGGGGTTGCATCCCAGTCTTCTCTTCTGCCACTTCACTCCACAATGCCTCCTGTTTACACAGGGGGAATGGCCACGCCGCAATCCCTTCTCCTCCATTCTCCTCTCGGGATCTTGGGCACGCACGCACACGTGTCCGTAGTTAGTTTTAAGCCACCGGGTCTGGGACGCGAACCATGGTCGACTACATGGGAGTCCAACAACATAGCCATTATGCTAACTCCTGGTCCCTGTCCTTTTCTTTCCATCTGTGAAGTCACTCTTATTTCAGACCCTGATCATCTCTTTCTCACTTTTGACTATGGCATTTCTTTCTTAAATTGTTCCTTAGCTCCAATCCCTCCTCCTTCCAAGCACCTACTCCACACTGCCAGCATAAACTGTTCATATTATTATTATTAACCTTCAGATTCCTCAATGTCTTCCAAGGTAGAGTCCAAACTCCTTAGTATAGTACTTGAGGCTTTACCCAATTTGGTTTTGGGGTTGCATCCCAGTCTTCTCTTCTGCCACTTCACTCCACAATGCCTCCTGTTTACAAGCCAAAACCAAAGCTCTCCAAGTCCTTCCCTTCATTTCTGCATTCGTTTTTACAACTCTTACCTGCTCTCTTCAAATTTCCAAATAATCTCAGGAGACTTTTCAGCGCTAATTCCATGCCATCATTTTGACTAAGTACAAAAAGAAATAATTGGATAATTCCAAATCTTATGCTAGCCTCCTGGAGGAGTAAGGCACTTGATAACCTGACCTACAGTTTACTTCTTCTCTCTTGACTCTGTTGTCTGAGAATGAGGCCCAGTCCTATCCCTGAAGATCTGGTTTCAGAGGTAGGAAGAAGGAGATTAAGGAGAAAGAGAAGGAAAGCAAAAGCTGTAAATAACATAGAAGTCACATGTGCTGCTCCTGAGTCATTTAGGGCTACTAATGATTGGGAAGGTGAGTGGTTTGCCTTATTTGATAGGGTCAAAGGCCCCTCAGAGACTCACCAGCGTTGTTCATGTTGCCATTGCTCTTCATGCTACTGTGATTGGTTAGGAGTAGAATTAGCTAATCAACAGAACGCTCTCTTCCTTTGTGAACACATGATGACATTCTCTAAGGGGTTCCAGACTCTATCAGGCAAGGACCTATGTCTCTCTGGTGTCAACCTTAGTCTGAAGGTATGTCGTTATCTTACCTGATCTCCTGGATTCCCTTGAGCATACCAGATTCTTCCTGCACTCAGGTCTTTAGTCCATACCATTGGTGTGTATTGGCAGGTTCTTTAGTAATTGTGTCTAAGATCACCACTGCACTATCCCTCACCTTAGGTGACATTCTTTGCAAAATTCAGCCCCCAAGAGTCTTGTAAACTATTATAAGATGTAATTAAAAAAATATATCCCCTTGGGGGCAACAGGTGGCAGATGGTTAAGGGTGCTGGGCTCCCACATGGATAACTGTGGTTTGAGTCTCAGACCTGGCAGCTTGCTTTCTCACTTCCCTCTTTTTCTCTCTCTGTCTCTCTCTGGTGAGTGCCTGTGGTTCTGTAGCAAATTAAAAAAAAAATAATGATGGTAAATAAAATTAAATGAATAGTTCTTTTAAAAATATTTAATGAAAAAGAAAAGAAATATTTCACTATTCTGTTCACTTAAAACAGCAGTCTTCAAGAGGCTTGAATTCCCTTGCTCTGAAGGATTGTCAAGGCATTTGGTTTCTTCATTAAACAATAGTAAATAATTGTAAAAATACTGTATCTTCCTAAAGGACAAAATACTTTATTTTTATTTGAGAGCTTCTAGTCTGACTCAGGGATGAAAATTGGATGAGAGGCCCAATTCTCCACCATGATGACTCATTTTAGGGTAATATTTATTTATTCACTCAGTATGGATTTATTGAGCACTTCCACTTGACAGAAACTCTTTAGAGTGCATCACTGAAAAATAAAGTAAAAAAATCCCTGTCATCACAAAATGCATATTTTCCAGAAGAATCTTACTTCATTGTCCGTTACAGGAGTCCCATGATCAAAATCACCACAAAGAATTGGAGGGCTGGACACACTCTGATATCCACACTAGTATACTGCTAGTTATGATAACCACTTCCCATAGAAATCAAAGCCAATATTCTTCATTTATTCTTGTGCTAGAAGGCATGTGCACTCACCAGAGAGATGAAGAGACAGGGTGACAGGCTAGGCTCGCGCCGCTGTGTCGGCTCTGCGCTCGGTCTCTCGGTCCCACTTCCTTGAGGAGGACGCTCCGCAGATTCGGCGCCGGTCGGCTCCCTCCCCCACGTCCCTGCCACAGCCACCGCGAAGATGG